GCGGTTTCGCCAACGGCCTCCCTTTGCGGAATGGGGCCTAGCTCGCCGTTGACACGACTATTGTGTCTCCGCTCACCGCCGCTGCGGCGCCGCAAGGGAGCAACCTATCCCGAGCTTCTTGCCAACGCCGGCTGCCGCCTGGCTGTGATCGGTGTAGAGGTCGGAAACGCTGGGGGTCAGAGGCCGCCTCTTTTCTCCGCCTCCTTGCGCGTGCCAGAGCCCGAGTACCGGGCAGGCGGGACACATCCGGGGCATCCCGGACGCCCGCCAACAAGTCACTGATGTCGGGGCCGGGCCCGTCAAGGTTGCTAAGGCCAGGCGACGGCAGGCAAGGGCACATCCAACTGAGCCAGGACTCTGGCTGCATCGCGGGGAATGCGCGCTTGGGCAACCAATGGCAGCACACGAACAAACTGATCTTGCGCATCCTCGTCATCGAGGAGCACGCGGGCAACTTCAGCAGTCCGGAAGGTCCGGAGGCGGCGCCTGTTTGCGCGCACGCCGCAGGTTGGAAAGGACGAGCTCCGGAAGAAGTTGACCGGCCCTCACATGCCTGGCGCACCTGCTGCGCCAGCGCCCGCCTGCGAGCCACAGCCTCATCGCCCCCATGGGCCCAACAGCAGCGGCGGCGGTAGCAGCAGCAGCAGAAGCAGCAGCGGCTGCTAGCAGCCGCAGCAGCAGCCGCAGCCGCAGCAACGGCACCGGCCACGGCCCAAACAGCGGCAGCGGCAACCGCAGGAACCAAAGCGGCCGCCCTGCCAGCCGCCGACAACAGTCGAGGCAACGACTTGGCCGGGCAGTCTCAAATTTGTGCCTTGGTCGTGCGAACGAAAGCGGTCGGCTGCAGCCGCGATCTCGGCAGACCGCCGCTCACCGAGGAACAGCAACAACAAGGTTTCCTGAGCAGTTGCAGGGATGTAGCCATTTGGGAAGACCGCCCTAAGAAAACGGAAGAGCCATGTGGCAACGCGGAGCGGCGGCAAGGGGCTGCGCCTGAGGCTCCGGAGGTGGCCAGCTGCTGGTGTTGGCGTCGCCTGGGCGTTCCTGCCGCCGCCAGCCCGGGAGCGCTCTCTTCATGACAGCGTCGGCATTTTTCAGTCCCAGTGACACGAGTTAGGTTGGGACTCCATTGGGCTAACCTCAAAAATCGCCCAGCGTCGAATTATGAGAATTCTCCCCCAACTGTTTCTGGCGGTTTTTTTGTAAATTTGGACTTGGGCTGTAATTTAAACTCGTTCTATGTCGAAACAAAAAGCTTGCCGTGCTCATTTGGCCCTTGATGGCCTTTGGCTTCTCTTGCATCTCTTCGTGCCTGGGCAGGCAACATGCAACATCTGCGAAACCAAAATCTGCGATTTGGCAGTTCTTGTACAATCTAAACAAGGTGGTAGCGGTGTTGGTCTGCACACGCATTTTGCTTGGCAGCGATGCTGGCTGAAGACCTCCTCCGCATTGAAAGGTTTGAGGCCCGCGAAAGCGGCCCTCAAGCGGGCGCCGCGTGCAGTGCGGGCTATGGATTGGGCCACTGGAAGCGCAGTCGTCGACCTCCTGTTGGTCGCGTGATGTCGCGTGGTGTCCGGGGCTGCCGTCGCGTCGGGCGACGCAGCCGGGCCGGGCTGGCAGGCTGGGCGGGCGCCAAGGCTGGGAAAGGCGGCGCAGCCATCAGGTAGGGCTTCACCGCGTCGGGATACGTCGGGTGGGCATTCTAAGGCTGCGCAGCCACGCCTGCGCTGGGCTGTGCTAGCCCAAGGCGGCGGCTTCGAGCCCGAGGTGAAAGAGCCGTCGGCGAACAAAGCGGGGAGCCTGGGCCGATGCGGAGTTGGGCTGGGGGGACTGAAGCTGAGGCAGGAGAGTGGCCAAAACGCCTGGCACCCTCACAGCCAGGGATGGCAGGCCATCCGCCCACGACGCCCAGAACGCAGCGGGGGCACGCCGCGCGGACTGCGGAGGCCGAGTTCGCCGTGGCGAAAGGCGAGCTGGGCGGCGTTTGCCGCGAAGCAGGCAGAAGGTCCGACTGCTCAAGCTGGAGGAGGCTTGCTGAGGCTTGCCAAGCAGGCCAGGAGGGAGGGCAGAAGCAAAGCAGCGGCAACCAAGCAGCTTGGAGATCCGGCAGGCCGGGGAGCTGGTCCGTGGTCAGCGCTGAGGGCGGCGAGGCTGGCGGCGACGAACTCACCGCTCCCGAGCGGGGTGCCAAGGACACGCAGGTTGCCGTTGCCGTTGCCGTTGCCGTCGCCGTTGCCGTCGTTGCTGCTGCTGCTGCTGTTGCTGCTGTTGTTGTTGTTGCTGCTGCCGTTGCCGTTGCCGTTGCCGTTGCCGTTGCCGTTGCCGCTGCCGCTGCCGCTGCCGCTGCCGCTGCCGCTGCCGCTGCCGCTGCCGCTGCCGCTGCCGTGGTGGTGGTGGTGGTGGTGGTGGTGGTGGTGGTGGTGGTGGTGGTGGTGGTGGTGGTGGTGGTGGTGGTGGTGGTGGTCGTGGTCGTGGTCGTGGTCGGGGTCGGCAGCGGCGTCGGCGTGGTGATTGCGGTTGCGTCTGCTGTTGTTGTGGATGTTGGCTGTTGATTGTTGGCTATTGGTTGTTGGTGGTGCTGTTGTTGTGCTTGTTGTGTTCTTGTCAGTTCTTATCTTTGTTCTTGTTCTTGTGTTGGGTGTTCTTGTTGTTGTAGTGGTGGTGAACATGATCATGATCATGATCATGATCATGATCATGATCATGATCATCATGATGATGATGATGATGATGATGATGATGATGATGATGATGATGATGATGATGATGATGATGATGATGATGATGATGATGATGTTGATGATGATGCTGATGCTGATGCTGATGCTGATGCTGATGTGGATGATGAGGATGGATGGTGGCGGCGGTGGAGTGGCGAGGTCGGTGTTGTTTTTATTGCTGATTCTGCTACTGACGATGTTGCCGTGTTGTTAGCTGCTGCGGCTGCAAATCCGTATCAACTCAGCAAACAATGTGAATGGGCGTGAACAGTGCATCCGACAAACCACACAACATCAAGCCAGTTGACCGCTCAGCACCAGGTCAGAGCGACAGCTTGGGCGCACGCCAAGCCCAGGACCTCTGGATAGCTCGCACTCCTGCAGCGCCCCGTTCCGTTGCGTCGGCACGATGGTGCAGAGTCATCAGAGAACCCCCGGCGACAGACCCATCCACAGCTCCTCAGGTAGTCCTGATCCTGCATTGGCATCCTTATTTCTGGCCCATCCATACTATCATTGGTACCTCCATTCCTTTCGTCGTATCTATGTAGATAGAAATATCATCTTGTTAATTCCACACATGTTGTTCTCCTACCTTAAAATGAAAGTTGTTATTTCCTCCCAATTGTAACCTTGCACTGTTGCGCTTCGAACGCGCCAAAACGTCATCCCCCAAAAAAAATGCGGGAACCTTTCGCGTGACTCACATTTGGTCGCTGGGCTTCTCGTGCCGTGGTCGCTGCGAAAACCCGAACCAGGTATCATGTCATGTCTGTCCTTCCAAGTGCCGAAGGGCGGGTCTACCATGAATTCCAAGCAAAAAGAAAAGGCGACACAGAGTTGATAGTAGAATTCTAAGTAAAAGTAGACATTGGTCTACTATGTTCCAAGGAATTGCAAGTTGCAATCACAGATGCCCGGGGGCTCGCCCGTTCACAGGGCCAAGCTGTGTGCGCGCGAGGGCGCTTTTCGGATGTCGTGTGCGATGTGTGGCTCACCCAGTTGAGCGTTGGCCTTGTGGGCTCCGGCAGCCCGCGGATCTGAGGATGTTGTGCTGCTGTTCGCTAGCAATCGGCGGCTTCTAAGTTTTCCTAGTGGGCAAAGTGACTGCCAAGTGATTTGCACAAATGTATCCAGCGTCAGCACGGACGGCAGCAAACTTCGCACTTCAAACGTCTCGCTGCCTCGCGCCTCCCGGCAACGCTTTCTGCAACACTTTCGTCGGCACGGTGGCATTGCGGCAACTATGTGGAGCGTGGCGCGTGGCTGTCGTTCGCCGGACTTGCATTGCGGCTGCAACAGCAAATTGCCAGGGGGGGGGGGTTGTTTGTTTCCCAACGTTTCCGCCAGTCACCGCTTTGAAAGCTGGCCAAATGAGACGCTCCTTTTCTCCCCGAGAAGTTCACCCTCTCAGCTCGACGAGGCCCTGCTCAGTGATGCTGAACCTCAGGCCGTCAATGTTTGGGTCCCGATCTAAGGTCCGAAAAGTGTGGCTCAAAAGTTACAGAGCTGGGCTTACGCGGGTTTTAGTCTTTGGTTCCATTTACCAAGGTGCCATTTTGGTACCACTTTTTTGAGCCACAGCCAAGTAACCCCTCTCAGCAAACCTGTGGGAATCCCGCTTGCCACAAGCAAGGGCAGCAATTGGCACTTCTGGAACACTCCAGTGTGGTTGGGGCAAAATACAGAGGTCAGAGCTCTTAAACATAGACACTCCCACCGAGCACACAGACACAAAGAGACAGACACACACAAGCAATACAAGTAGAACCGAAAAAAAAGAAGAAAAAAAAAGAAAAAAGAAAAAAAAAAAAAAAAAAAAAACGAAAAATATACACACACAATCTTCACGCTGCATATGCAAAGCACTATACAGTGCTCACTACTCCACACACATACAATGCTCGCGCACAGCCAGCACCCCAGCCTCTACATGCCATACCAACAAACCCACCGACAAAGCAAGCACATACACGACAGGCAGATTCAAGCATCCACTCAACCCCCCCATGCGCATCAAATAAATACAGCATCACACTCACCCAACAATTACTAACAACCGCACCAGTGTGAATAACCCGCGTCAAGCCTTCACAAAACACAACACGATGCTGCTGGTCATGCTGTTCCAATTCCAGTATTTTGTACACTTGCAAGACGTCGCACCATTTTCAAGGTGGCTGTGGGTCAAAAATATGTACCCAAAATGGAACCCTAGTAAATGGAAACATGGACTAAAACCTCCATACCCAGGTGACGATTCACTCAGCTCTTTTTCTAGCCGTTTCCGCGCACTTCCCTGGTCTTCTCCAGCTTGTCCATCGGCTTCCGCGCGACTCCGGCACACTCGCAGTGCACTGGGGGCAGCTCTGCTCCGAAGCACCAAGACGTCACTTGGCCGAGAAGCCATCCTGGGCCGAGACGAAAGTAGCACTCGGCACTATCTAAGTTGGTGTGAGACACTGGTATCCATCATGGAAAAAGGATGCCCTTGACCCTGCTGTTGGTCATGTTTATCAGAAAACCACCTGCAGTTCAAGCGAACCAGAGTGCCGAGGGAGGCTGTCATGGGACCTCTGGGTTTGGAGCATTTACTCACCAAGCGGGGGTCATTTCTCCGTTTTTGGCCCCAAGGATCACTCCATCGCACAGGTCCCGCTAAACACCTTCCCGGTGCTGCCTTGTGATTCCAGAGTCATCCAGTCCCTGTCCTTAGGTTTCCTCATACGTAGGGATCCCCCCTTTTGGTGGCGCCCAGCCATACGAAGTCCAAGATCAGTCCCACCATTTTGGGACTCCATGCAAATCCACGAGCCCAACCCCGGTGATGTAACCGCCTCTGAACCACGGGCCAGGTTCAGAAACCTGAAAGCCCACTTCCCGAGGTTTATGGCCCAAAAAAGAAGAAAGTCCGAAAACTTTGTATTTACCCACTAGACTGGTCCAAGCCAAAAAAAATCCTTTTTACGGAACTCAGGAAGTGAGACACCAGGCACTGCCTCGTCCCTTTTCCTTCAACGAACTCTGGACGCCTTGTTCGCCGTCCGAGCCTCAACCGCAAAGCAGCGAGTCCAAGATGTCGTCCTCGGTGACCTGCTCACTCCAGCACCTTGGTCTGGAGTTGAAGGTGGGACTCCATCACGTGTGTGTGATGTGTATATATATATATACTAATATCTATGTGTGTATGTATGTATGTGTGTGTGTATGTATGTATGTATGTATGTATGTATGTATGTATGTATGTATGTATGTATGTATGTATGTATGTATGTATGTATGTATGTATGTATGTATGTATGTATGTATGTATGTAATGTAATGTATGTATGTATGTATGTATTTATGTATTTATCTATGTATTTGTATGTATGTATCAATGTATGTATGTACGTATGTATGCTTTGTATGCATGTATGTATGTATGCATGTATGTATGTGTGTATGTATGTATGTATGTATGTATGTATGTATGTATGTATGTATGTATGTATGTATGTATGTATGTATGTATGTATGTATGTATGTATGTATGTACAATATCACATGTGTGGTTCTGAGGTTACCGTTTTCGGGCGTGGTTTCCAAGGGAGTTGACAAGGAACGTGTTTCTCGCTATTCCGTGTTTCTGATGTCTTTCTGTCTTTGTGCCTTTGCGTGCTCTGTTGTTTTTGTTTGTTTGTGTATGTATGTGTGTGTGTTTTGCACACTTGGTGGGTAATGTTGGCTATCTCGAGCTAACCCTTGTCGATGCTTCCTCCTGCAGCCGGCTAAACGGATCAAGTCCGAAATCTATGTCTAGGGTCCTTGGACCTGACCTGACACAAGGCATACTGTGGATGGATGCGAAATCCATTTTGCACCACCGTTCAGAAACCCAACCGAATGATTCGATTCCCCTGCAAATACCAATGAACAATGGTTTCAACCATGGTTTTGAAAGTGGTGTCCACCCACAGTACCTCGGATAGTTAGTTTCTGAGAACCGCCGTTTGGCAAGCCATGGGTCTGGGCAACTCATAGCGACCTAAGATCCTGATGTCAGCCTAATTGCCTCATTTTTCGGCTCTTGGATTATGGTTCGCTAAACACCAATACTTTGGCCAAGGCAACCATGGACACTGACGGGCCAGCTATATTTAGAAGAAAAAAGAAGAAGAAGAAAAACATCCAAAGTATGGTGAGCTATGTACGGGTGTGTGTTTTCTTGATGGTACCCCTTTTGGGTTGGTTTTAAGGGAACCTTCTCATTTTGTTGGGCTCCAGTCCAACCTTCAAAAAGACAAGCCACCCATACAAAAACAAGAAGCAAGTCTGATTGCCAGGCCCTCAACGAAGTCTCAGCCCGCGGCTGAGTTCCGGCCAGATTTGCCTCCCGCGCCTGCAGCAAGCGCTGGCACCACATCAGCAGCTGCCTGGAGCAACCCGCGCCACGCGATCGACGCAAAACGCGCGGGACGGATCGATGCGCCGGCGTGTCAGCTGACTGGAAATGGAATCCGGGAATCGGAGGATCTTGATAGCGGGGGTCAAGTTCTGAAAAAAAGGCTGGCGAACAGTCGCACGATTTCGAGGTTTCCACGGACCAACTTGCGTGGTGCGACCAGGTCTTATGCTGTCCGAGCAACTAACCGTTGCCCTATACCACCGCCTACATAGGTGGGCTTTTGGAAAAATCGATGGGTTTCCCTGGTAAATGCAATAAGCCAACCAGCTAAACCAGGAATCGCCCTCTATTTCTTAAGCAAACCAACCAAAAAGGACACCTATGACCGCCTAAAGAAAAAGCAGCTGGGGAAAGAGACAAAGAGGCCTGAGGAGCAAAGGCCATGATCGAGGTTCAAGCTGTGCGGCTGGGTGAGCCCATCAGACGTCCTGCCTGTCAAGTTTTCCTCCGGGGGCGTTTCAAGCTCAAGAAACTCCCGTTGGCAGGGGCAGTAAGGGCAAAAACCACCGCTTTAGCCTTGATCTGTCCCAACCCAGGGTGCGAAATTCTCAGGTGTCACGAACCCATCGCCACTTTCGGTTCCCTTTAAAGTGAAATTGCGGGGACCGTCCTGAATCTTCTGTTTCTAAACCTGCTCACAGCCTCAAAAAACAGAAAACAAACTTCCGCTGTAGGGTGTCAGAACTTCTGCCTCTTCACTTGCTGCGCGGCCCAGGCCCTACGAGGTTGGGTCACCTCCTCCAAGTTGGCCACAGACCTTGACAGCTCCATCCGCTGCGCCTGCCACGCAACCGGCCGCGCGGCAGCTCAGGGCGGTTGAGTGACGAGAGCTAGAGAATGACTTTGCGAGTCCGGGTGGTGGCGGCGAAGGAACCGGTTTTGGATTCGGAGTCCCTTATAAGTTGGATGGTTCAAAAGGGGTCATTCCAATTTCCAGCTGAGAACCAGCAGGTCATGGCAGAGAACCAGCAGGTCATGGCAGTCCAACTGGGTAGAATACGTTTGCAAGGCACAAATATGGCTTCCTCAATTCAGGAAATCGTTAAGCACTCTGCATGACGTATGTGGTGCAGGCGTTGTGAGCAAGGCATGTGCGTGTGTGGTGCACGTGCTGCAACGCATTTCAACAGGACGTCCGAAAATACGCACCGCACCAAAAGGAGACTCGTCGCCAGGCCAAAGAAGTGATAATTAAACTGGGCTGCCCGCCAGGCACCACCTCCCCACCTGGGCGACATATTTCATGAACCCCAGGCGACAGTAACTCTGTTCTCGGGCGCCTCCACCCAATGCCGCAAAGCATCGACCTTGCCACTGCTCCTGTCCGCCATCGCTGGCACGTCCAGCACACGCCTCACGACGGGCGACGACAAGCTCTTGGCTTTTGGGGTTACCAACGAAAATTTCATTGAGCCAGGGTTGATGGGGCGGGACGGGGGGCGGGGGTGGGGCGGGGCTGGGGCGGGGTGGGGCGCCTAGTCAAAATATAAGCGATACACCCATCCAATCAAGCTGGACATGGTTGTGTATTGTCGTTCTCTGAGTTGCTACTTTGCATTCAGCAAACGCACAGACCGCACCATTCATAGCCTGAATCCTTGACAAGACTGCAAACACATGCATGTAAGCCACTGATAAGCATTATCATGAGTACAACAAGCATGGTGTCAAGGACATGGAGCTCTTCCTAAGAACTGTCACCCACACATAAGCGTGGACACTTCAACCAGGCAATCTGCATGTTGCACTAGCCTCTTGGGCCGACGTGCCTAAAACACACGGACTCTGAAGCACACCTGGCATGATACATGTTGACCGCATATTTATCAACCCCAGTTGCTGAATAGGGGGTGTCCCTGGGTTTGGTAGGAGCGGGACACCCCCCTATTAATCAACTGGGGTTGATTTGTATATGATTTGTATGGGGTCAACAGTACACGGAGTAAAGCAGGAACGCATGGAGATCTTCCGACCTCGAGCGGCATTCCGGTCTTCAAGCCCTTGGCTCTCCATTCGTGAACCCGAGGGCTGGCAACCAAAAGGTGTGTGCCAAAACTTCAACGCGCCGTACATCTGCCTGTCTTTGCATCTCTGCTTTCTACGCTCCCAGTTGTCAGAGCTTGTCCGTTGGCCACACAGACAAGGACAGGTGTTGGCGTCTTGGGAGTTTGGATGTGACTTCCCGACAATCCTGGCACCCTTCCGGCCTGGGGTCGACAAGCCCCGGTTGTCAGGTTTTATTGTGGGAACTATATAGCACGTGTATTCGGGCCATGGACTGGGTTCAACATGGGGGATCTCGAATTCTGATCAATTCGTCACACCACAAGGGAAACCACCATCTGGCACAAAAATATTGAGGATTGGGTTTCGAACCAACCAAGGCAGGTATATACTTCTCCAAAATAAACACGCAAACAAACACACACAACACATCGACCCACCTACGCACCTATGCACTTGCCACACGCACCCATGTGCGGACTCAGGCGCACATGCACACCCGCACATGCACACCCATTTGTTTGTAGAAAGCCAGGCGGCGGTGGATTGAGTCCAAATTGGAATTGGGCCCTTTTGATTTGTTGGTGTCCCTTTCAACCAACTCCTGTTTCATGTTTTCCCTGTCCTTCTCACTTCCTCAGCGGCGTGGCCAGCAAAAAGTCCAAACTTCTTCTTTGCCACCAACACTCTCTTCCAAAAAACGACAAACAAACGAACTCCAAAACACAACTCCAAGTCAGCCTTTCGGTTTTCATGGGTCTCCCCTCGGTTTCGTGAAGAAAAGCCGCCAACCCCCAAACCACCCCACATGCCCGGACCCCCGGAGGTTCCCGGCCCCCGCCTCACCCGCGGGTCCACCTTGGCCTCCAGGCCCTCCAGCCGCCCCGCCGCGTCCGCGTAGGCCGCCGCCCGCGGCGACCCGCCCGAAGCGCTGGGAGGGGCCGCCTGGGAACAACTTTGGAGCAAAAGAAACTTTTTTTGGCTGGTGCTCTAGGAAGGGAATGTGAAATGGAATGACCCCGAGAAAACCATCCCACTGGTTCCCCTTGTTTCGTGATTCCACAACTCGTTCCAATTCATGGCCACTGTCAATCTGGCAGGTGCCTGTATGCGTTGCCTCACAAAGTGGGACCTTTTGGATGCAACGGCAGAGTGAGAGAGAGAGAGAACTCATTCCCTACAAACCATCGCACCGATCGCAAGTTGGCTGCGCTCAAAAATAGATACCCAAAATCCAACCCTGGTAAATGGAAATATGAACTAACATCTGCAGTCCCCTGGTCGTTTCATTTTGACCCACAGCCATATGGGTGCGTCTTGTTTTTTTAGGGGAGCAACCAACATAGTTGGTTTCCTGGTGGGTAACCAACTTTGGGGAACATGCAACATGTGGGTGTCTTGTGTTTTAGGGGACCCACCCAAATAGTTGCTTTCCCGGTGGGCACCCAACTTTGAAGGAAATGAAACATACTTGGAACTGGGCCAACTTCCATTTGCTTAAGTCCCCTGGAAAACATTACATATTTGCAGAAGTGAGGATGTTCAGGGAAGGCAAGACTTCAGACTTCCTGGGATCCATCTTGGGCCTCGCTGCACGATTGAACATGCTGCATGCTTTTAATGGGAACCCGGATTCATTGACTCCAGTTTGTTCATATGGGCGTGCCTGGTTTTAGGGGGGCTCATCACTGTTGGAGGGAAACACCCGTTTGTAATTCATAAACAGGGGTTGGGTCAACATGAGTTGACACTATGGGCATGATGTTTTCTCCCCGTGACGAGGGCAAAAACGGCCTGTCCATGGGGCTGTTGGTTCAGCCCCTGATTTCAACGAGAAACCTACAAGGCAAACGGTGCCCCACTTGGCAACTGGCAGAAAGAAACGCGGGTTGATCCAGGGTTGGCCAGTTCTGTAGCCGAACAGAAAGTGAGCACCACACTCAAAAGAAGCCATCTGGATGACGCCTATAAACCATCCGCCATGGTTTCCTGTAAGGGAATCCCCTGGGTTTATTCCCTCATTCCCTGCCGAGCACCAGCAAGAAAATGGGGAGTCTGGAAAAACTCACGTTGTTGACCAATATTATTGTATTGTGCGCGTACAAGGGGGCGACCGAGTCACTCAGAAAGTGGGTTGCCGGAACTGCTTTTTCGCCAGCCTCGGACTAATTCCCGTGCTTCCAGCTACCACCTTTTGTAAGCTGGTAATCAAGGTTTCTCACCCCTCGGTGTTGCACGATTTCCCCTGACCCATGCTGGCAACTGGCAGCACTGGAAAAGGTGTCAAGCTTCCTTTGCTTCTGCACTGCTAGCCTTTCGCTGTACCGGAGAAAGAGAAAAGAGAGAGAGAGAGAGAGAGAGACAGAGAGAAAGAGAGAGAAAGAGAGAGAGAGAGAGAGAGAGAGATAGAGAGAGAGAGAGACAAAGACAGAGAGGGAGAGGGAGGGAGGGAGGGAGAGAGAGAGAGAGAGAGAGAGAAAGAAAGAGAGAGAGAGAGAGAGAGAGAGAGAGAGAAAGTGAGAGAGAGAGACAACGCGTCGTTTCTGGGGAATGGCTGAAAACCTGAGCAAAAATAAGAGAAGCCCGCAAAAGATCTTGACGACAGTTGCCGATGTTTGCCGCCCGCGACCCAAAAAGCACACACCACGGGGTCCTGCAAGGCCGGCAATTGCTTCTCGCAGAAGAGTTGGAGACTTCTGCAGGTTTCTAGCCTGAACAGGGGAGGCATCTGTCAACCACGTCCCCATCTTTGCAAGGGGGCCCATAGTCACATTCCTTGCACATGACATACCTCGAACCTTTGAAATGGCCCGAACTCCGGTTTTTGTCCCTTTAAGCCAAGCCAAAAAATACCTACGAAAAAGGGGGCCATATACACCCTCCACAGGGATGTGCTCCTTTCAAAGCCGGTGATTTCCTCGCAACATGTTTGCGCCCTTGCCCAAAGGCCTACGGATCCGGGCAACTGCTTTTGACTCACTGCCGATTGACCCAAACCCATGGACCTTTCCACGATGGCGCCAAAAGAAATGGCTTTCCAGGCTTGAAAGCGCCAAAAGCGAAGCCAAACTCCGTTTCGGGGTCCCGAATTCCGATTTGTTGATCCATACCCATATTTTCTCTGGTGCTTCTGGGGTAGACACCTCCTCACATAAGTACCCCTATTTTGCCAATTCAAGATATTTTCCCAGAGTCTGAAGAGAAATTAGGCGGTCTCTGTCTGAGGATACCTTTTTGTGTGGCTTCAAAGGACACCGAAGCCATGGGGGTGCACACACCAATCTGGGCTGTCCTCAAATCCCATTCTAAAAGTGCAATTTTTAGTGGAACCACTAAACTAACAACCCCACTAAATTCAACCTAAAGCTAAAATTGGGATTTTGGTGGGTTTTCATGGAAACCCAACCACTACACTAACAACCCCACTAAATTCAACCTAAAGCTAAAATTGGGAGTTTAGTGGGTTTCATGGAAACCCAACCACTAAACAACCTGAAAGTCTTGGAGATTTTAGTGGGTTAACCCAAACGTCTGTCCCTGCCTGGAGGGCGCTCGCGCCAGCAGCTCGGCAGCAAAGCCCCGCGGCAGCGAGGAGCCGATCTTCCTGGGACATTTCGGGGTCGCTTTGATGGGTATTTAAAGGGAAACCAACAGGAATCCAACCATTTTAGGTGACCACGATGCTGAGAAACTTATTTTCCACCCCCGAAGGCTGCTTAAGATGCAGAAGTCTGAAATTCAAGCCCCCATTAACTAGGGACCTGAATCGGACCCCCCACCCCCTTCCCCCCCCATGAAACCCAAATCCCAGACTGAACCACTCTCGTTTGAGGATCTCACGATTTGGTGACAGTCGAAGAACACAGGTCCTTCAACCAGGGGGGCAGGTTGCACAGATGGGCAACCTTGGATACAACATAAGACTAAGGCTGGGGAGAGGAACGAGAGCGGTCAATGATTTGATCCCAGCGCAGCTTGTCTCAGAAGTATGAGCAATGGCTTCTCTGAAAGGACTTTCGATCCCTTGATTTCTACATGAGTGTGGCTTTGGTGTCTTTGCTTGGCGGCTTTGAACGGAAAACAACAGAAGGAAAAAAACCAAAGAAAACAAATCTGGAAGTCCCTCGAAAAAAGACACTAGAACATATATATATATATACAAACCTATAATATATGTGTATATATATATAGATATCAGCTGTGTTCTTTGGTGTATAGATCCTTTACAAGCTCAGCTGAGAGTTCATGGATCCCACCTGACAGCTGAGTGTCCGCCGCTTCAGCAAAAGGTGGTCCTCCAAGAGGTCCATGCGCGCCGACTCCTGGACGGGTTGAGCCAGTGCCACAGGCATATTGAACAAACAAACAAACAAACAAACTAACATACAAACAAGCCAAGCCAAGCCAAGCCAAGCCAAACAAGCAAACAAGCAAACAAGCAAACAAGCAAGCAAGCAAGCAAACAAGCCCAGGAAACGAGTTGCATCCTTCAAAAGCGAACATGTTATGCTAGAGGCCCAGATGTGTCCATAGCTTTAGATAGCCCGTTTGTGTCAAAGGTCCAGATTCTTGCGGGGTTGACACGCTTACTTGAGGTTGATACGAAACAGTCTCGTTGCAGATCTTATTGAAACTGACTAAAAAGGAGAGATGAAATAGGAATGCCACCTGCGGGAGCAAGCTTGTTCTTTCTGCTGTTAGCAGGTGTCCCTGAATCTCACGACCCCAAACCCTACTTGCCCTGGATTGCAAGTAGGTATGAAATTAATGTAAAGCACTTGGTGGCTATTCTACGGCTGGCGGGGTTGGGGTCGGACACCATCCCATCTGTCGCCAACATGAGCTTCGTGTTGCATTTTGTTACTGCTGTCTTGAGACCGGCAAGAAGGATCCCCAACTTGGAAACAGTCCGATGCATCTAGATTCATTCCACATGCATCTTCTTACAAAGTCAGACGTGTAAGAACAAATGCAAACATTAGAACGTACCTGTACCCATCCTACTATTTTGTGCAACCTCAAAGTACAAGCAGGCGTGTATTTGTGCATCCCTGCAGTTAAGTATGCACCTGCATGGATTCGTCAGAAACTGAGCAGTTCAAATAACCTCAGAGATTCTGGGAAGTGAGTGAGTATATGGGTATGTGTAGAAAGAAAACAAACAACAAGAAGTCCCGGACCCTCCCCCCCCAATAGCTTCGGTATTCCTCTTGGTTTCCCTTTAAAACTGACTTGTCCTCAGATCCCCCGCTTAAAGTTTAACTTTTTAGTGGGCTAAATTTGGAAAACCAACCACTCAACACCAAAAGCTGAAGACCGGATAAACCAACCACTAAACGCACTAAAAGCTAAAAAGCTAAGGAACCGGATGGCTGGCAGCCAAGAAATGGCATCTGCATCCCGTCCTCCAGCTGGTCCGGCTCCACCAGGAGCATCCGCTCCGCCCGGGTCATCTCTTTGCGCGGCTTCCGAGGGTCCGCCTGACGCGTCCCGCTTTCCGGGGGGATCGGTTCATCGAGCCCTGGGGACACAAAATGCGGCATGAAACGTTGCAAAGCGCGCGGAAAACAGAGGCGCGCTCCCAGCAATTGACCTGGCACCTGACAGGGGTCCAGAGGTGTCCTTTGTTGGGAAAATAGCCAGGGCCCTGGTTGATTGAACCAGGTAAACCCGGAATCGCCAGCTATTTTTGGACCCAATCAACCAAGAAGGACACCAAGAAGCTTGGCACATATCATGCTTGGGACATAAAACGTGCGGGTCTGTCGTTCCTTTGGAGGTACCCCTTTTCTGGTGGTTTTCAAGCGAAGCAAAGCAACAGGAAAAACGGGGCCGGCTTGTGCCAAGCAACAGGAAAACCACGAGCTGTGTAGGGGGGTCCCCTAAAGGTCCCGCAAAAAAAACAACAACAACGGGCCTTTAGAGTATCTTTCCACAAGCTAGTGTCGTCCCACAAGCTGCTGACAAGGTGCTGCCCTTGGCAAAGTGTAGGTTGTTTTGTGATGTTTGAATTTTAGTACTACCCAAAGGCTCCCGATTGAATTAGGGCCTTCAAACAACCTGGTTTTGAGACCCCAAACCACCTCCAGGGTGTCCAATGGAGGGGTCGGGTCTTGCATTGAAAGCTCAGGAGCCTCTGGGTAGTTAACACCTGCTGTGGGTGGACGAAATCCATTTCGCACCACTCGGGATGAACGTCCATCCGCGGTATTAAGGGTCAGAGGCGCATGCTCAAGCTAAGCATCGGCTACCAATCACCGTATCAATTCTTCGCGGCTTTCAGACGGCGAGGAACCCATGCGCCCCCCCCGCCCCCCCCCATTGAACGGCAGGCTCCCTACATGCCTGGTTCTTGAAGAGAAAGTGATCCCGGTTGAGATGGGCCCAAATCCCTCTCTGGTTGCTCAGGGACCGGAACAAATACCAAATCCATCCCCTTTTAGGTTCCTTTTGGAATCAAACTGCTTGGGCTATTTAGCACCCTGCTGATCCGGCTCACTGGTTCTTATTCAAACAGTGAAACCGGAGAGGCCTGAGAGACCTGACATGGAAAGCTGGGTTTCACTTAAACCCAAGCGTCCCCTCTGGTCAACCTCACTTGGATAAAAGCAACGCACATGGCTGCCAAATTTAAGGCTTCGCCCAGAATACACTTGCCATCTGCCTTTTGTTGGGGCCCTATCGTTTCACGCCAACTTTGGGCAACATCCACCGCAGTTGCGCTTTGGAAACATCCCCTAAATGGGCGTGGGTTTCAAACAACCCCCAGGGTACCAATTACAAAAGCTCTATATCCCTGCTTGCAGCAAAAGGCCCTCTAACCTGATAGAAAACATGTAGTTCTCCCCCGAAATAATACGCAGGGTTGTGGAACTACCCACTTCTGAAATTTCAGCAGAAGGCAATCCACTTGAGGGTGGGGTAGCTGCGGTTCCCAAGTAGTTCTGCAAAGGCTTCCCATACTGAAAACAACCATCCACATTACTACTTTCATGTTGACCCCGGATTCATACACCCCTGCTTGTTAATAGGGGGCTATACCTCCAACAGAATCCCCACAAAACCCGGGACACCCCCGTCCCCCTATCAATAAACTGTGGTGTACAGCATAAACACTTCAGGGATTTCTCTTGGTATCCCAGAAATGCGGCTACCACCCAACTTCCCACCACCATACGTGCCTCTGGTAGCGTCTCCACCTGCGGCTGCGTCTCCACCTGTGGCCGCGTCTCCACCTGCGGCTGCGCAGGCATGTCTTCTTCCGCGCTCGAATCCTTGGCTGAACGGTCTGAGCTGTGACTCGGAAAAACCGAGCACTGCATCCTCTTACAATCGAAGCCAACAGAAGGGTTTTGGAAGACTCTAGGTTTCTTGAGGCCCTCTGCAAACAAACAAACCATGTTTGCAGACAGGATTCATCCCTAAATAGATCTCCCCCAGCTTCCTCGTCCGGCTGGCTGATGAATCCCATCATTGCTCACGGCGAGTGCTTCGTCGCTGCTGCCATGGCCCCCGGACGGCAGAGAGACTCTCAAGCGAACCAGGTGCTGCGGGAGCCAAGCATTGGATTTCATGGTCTTGCTTGTACAGGCCGAAGGACGCGACCTGAAGAATAGAGTTCATTTGGCGCTC